GCCTATAGATTGTTCTAGTCTCTGAAGCAGGATGGAGTGGTCAATTGTATCAAATGCTGCACTAAGATCTAACAGGACTAGAACAGAGAGAAAACCATTGTCTGAGGCCATGAGTAGGTCATTTGACACCTTTAGCAGAGCAGTCTCTGTGCTGTGATGGGTTCTAAACCCAGACTGGAAATCCTCTAATAAACCGTTGTTATGGAGAAAATCACAGAGTTGATTCGCAACAACTTTCTCTAGGATTTTAGAAATAAAAGGAAGGTTGGATATTGGTCTATAGTTAGCTAGGGAGCTTGAGTCCAGAGTAGGTTTTTTAAGGAGAGGCTTAATCAATGCAGTCTTGAAAGACTGGGGAACATATCCTGTTAATAAAGACGTGTTAATCAATTTGAGCAGGGACGTACTAATCAAAGGAAGAGTTTCCTTCAGCAATTTTGATGGAATTGGGTCTAAGAGACACGTCGATGGTTTGGCTGCTAGCACCACTGACTTTAACTCAGGAAGGTCAATAGGTACAAAATTACTAAGGTGCACCAGAGGCCTTAGGGGCTCCTCAACATTTTTAGGGTTATCTGAGAGAGAGACACTTGATGGAGTCAATAGGTTACTAATTTTACCTCTTATTTTTAAGATTTTATCATTGAAGAAGCTCAGGAAGTCGTTGCTGCTAAGGGCTAAAGGGATACATGGTTCAGTGGTGCTCTGACAGTCTGTCAGCCTGGCTACAGTGCTGAAGAGATATCTGGGGTTATTCTTATTTTCCTCAATAAGAGACGAGTAGTAGGTTGTCCGAGCATGTCGTAGGGCTTTCTTATATTTATCGAGACATTCCTGCCAGAGAAAACGAGCTTCAGCTGTTTTGGAGGAGCGCCAAATCCTTTCACATTTTCTTAATAACTGTTTCAGCTCACGGGTTTCAGCATTATACCACGGGGCTAGCCTCTCGCGTGTAAGAGTTTTTTGTCGAAGAGGGGCAACTGAGTCTAGAACTGATCGCAGTGTGCCTGAGGTATCATCAACAAACTGGTCGAGTTGCAAGGGACTGATGTTTAAATATGAGCTATCAGTGAAGTTTTTCTCAACTACAGAATTTAGAGCAGACGGAATTACCTCCTTGAACTTAGTAACAGCAATTTCAGACAACTTTCTAGTTAGCACGGCTTTGTTGTGAGGAGAGTAACCTGAAAGCACAAATTCAAAAGTTACTAGACAGTGATCAGATAATAGAGGATTTAATGAGCTGACTAACAGGGCTTCAGTTTCGAGGCCATAAGCCAGGACAAGATCGAGAGTGTGGTTAAAGCAGTGCGTAGGTCTGTGTACACACTGTGTAAACCCAATTGAATCTAGCAAGGACCGAAAAGAAATGCTTAGGCTATCATTTTCTACATCTACGTGAATATTAAAGTCACTGACGACGATGACTTTATCTGCGAGAAGGACTAATTCGGATAGGAACTCTGAGAACTCTGACAAAAACTCAGAGTATGGGCTCGGAGGGCGGTAAACTATAGCAAATACCAGTGGTCTCATGGACTTTGAGGCTGGATGCGGGAGACTGAGAACGAGACTTTCAAAAGAGTTATAAACTAGTTTTGGTCTTGGGTTAATTCTAAGACTGGAATTGTAGATAGCTGCAACTCCACCACCTCGGCCAGAGTCTCGAGGAATGTGAAAGTTTAGGTTACCCTGTTATAACCTGGTTGTAACCTGAGACATTACCTGGTAATAACCTGGTTATCACCTGGTGATGAGCTGGTTGTTACCTGAGACATTACTTGGTTATAACCTGGTTATAACCCGAAACATTACCTTGTTATAACCTGGTTATAACCTGAGACATTACCTGGTTATAACCAAGTTATAACCTGGTTATAACCTGAGACATTAACTGGTTAAAACCTGGTTATAACCTGAGATATTACCTGGTAACAACCTGGTTATAACCTGGTTAATATCTGGTTATTACCTGGTTATAACCAGAGACATTACCTGGTTATAACCTGGTTATAACCTTAGACATGACCTGGTTATAACCTGGTTATATCCTGAGACATTACCAGGTTATAACCTGGTTATATCCTGAGACATTACCTGGTTATAACCTGGTTATAACCTGAGACATAACCTGGTTATAACGTGGTTATAACCTTGTTATAACCTGAGACATTACCTGGTTATAACGTGGTTCTAACCTGGTTCTAACCTGAGACATAACCTGGTTATAACCTGGTTATGATCTGAGACATTACCTGGTTATAACCTGGTTATATCCTGAGACATTACCTGGTTATAACCTGGTTATATCCTGAGACATTACCTGGTTATAACCTGGTCATATCCTGAGACATTACTTGGTAATAACCTAGTCATATCCTGAGATATTACGTGGTTATAACCTGGTTATAACCTGAGACATTACCTGGTTATAACGTGGTTATAACCTTGTTATAACCTGAGACATTACCTGCTTATAACGTGGTTCTAACCTGGTTCTAACCTGAGACATTACCTTGTTATAACCTGAGACATTACCCTGTTATAACCTGGTTATAACCTGAGACATTACCTGGTTGTAACCTGAGACATTACCTTTTTATGTTAACTATAAAAAAAAAGAACTTTTTTCCCCCAAAATTTTTTTAGTTGCTTCTGAGATATAATTCTTGTTAATTTAGGAAACAAGAGCAGTTTTATCCTCAAATAAATGCAGTACGCCTCTGTGTTGAAGAACTCTACATTTCTGTCAAACATTAATCTCAGCTATACCTCAAGGTAGCTAAAAAAAAAATATGTTAAAAATAACTTTGAATGCATTAATCAGGTAAAAAGTTGAGATTTTATGGCGTTTCCGGGTTAAAATTGTGTGATTTCCTGTGGTTTTAGTCAACATCAAAGCAGAGCAGTGGATTAAACATGGAAAAATGTTATGCAGGACATGCTGCGAGACCAAAACATTGCACAATTGTTTAAACAGCTTGTAACACCTGTTACTTACCACTTTATTGTATTATTTTCTCTTATTAAAAAGAAACACCTGTTACCAAACTTGTCTTATTTCACTTTTATTAGTCATCCACTAAATATATGTACGTGACTTTGACTTGTACACAGTAATCCAATAAGAGTTGCAAATGTTGACTTTTTACGGCTAATTTTAATATTTACCTCTTAAATGCGCGCTCACTGCAGTCTGTCCCGTTGAAGAGCATGGACAGTGCAGACTGCGTTTGGAACTACGGAGGGGTACATGAACCACATGACCGCTCTGGCGGCGAGATCTGAAGTTGTCGACACTCTGTTTAATCCACGGCTCTGGTTATTGGCTGACAGGGACCCCAAGACAGCAGGTAAATACATCTCTCACAAAAGCGAGGATGAGACACATCATCCTGCCACAGATACATACAAGTTAATTAAACTGAGTGATTGAACAGCTTACTGATGAAAACTAACATTGCAATAGAAGGAGCAGATGATTGGTTTCACTGGAGATTTCAATTACTGTATGTGTGTTTGCTAAACTGTTTATTTACTGTGAGCAGATTATGTGTCAGGTTGGGTCACGCTGCGGTAAGTTTTATTTAGAAAAGTAAAAGCAGTAAAAAAGGCTTGACTCCAGCGTGATTTGAAAATGCAACCTTCTGACGGAAAAGGGCTGATCCCGACGTGATTTGAACACGCAACCTTCTGATCTGGAGTCAGACGCGCTACCGTTGCGCCACGAGGTCCTCTAGGCTGAAAACGAAGATTATCAGAATTACAAAATACATCTAAAATGAGTCCAGTGATGTTTATACCTCCTAATCATTTGATCCATGTCAGGGTTTGAATCGATGGCCTATATGTGAAATAAACACCTCGAAAATAAACGATTGTTATATTACCATAACTTTTATTCTTTTACTGCAGACTCTGAGTTAAAATGAAACAGCACCGTAGAAATGATCATCGCGTTTTATTCCCTCCCCATTACATCAGACTCTATGCGTTTTTAGTCTCCTGCCTCAGCACCATGGACAGCTGCCAGTACCACAGCTGGTTCAACGGCTCACCTCCGCAGCGCGCTGTTGTAGTCCTGCCTGCTGAGTACCGAATGCGCATGTGCAGAAGACGCCTTTTCATTTGAGGCTCTTTCCTCTATTAGGAAAGGAACGGGGCATGTATGCTTTTAGCCTCCTTGAAAAAGATGGAATAATGTGATAATCGTTATCATACTAGTTTTACATCTGAAAAAGAAAATTATAAATTAATTATATAATGCAAAGAACATGCAAGCAGCAACTCGAAATTAACTGTAATGTCAGACCTGCCTCTCATGTGGTGTCAGGAGAAACCTTTTCTTAATATTTCTCAATATCAGCAGAAATTCTTAGTTTAGCTTGAAGACACCCAGAATAACAACTAGAGTTTGTCAAACAACAAGACAAACACCAGATTACACTACATCCAATACAGCCTGTCTCCATGCTGCAGGGCTGAAAAGCAAAACCTACACTTTTTGTCCCTAATACACTATATATTTCCGTCCTAACTTAAAAGTAAAATATCTATATTTGCTATTATAAGGATTCCAAAGCCATCTGTGAGTAAAGCTTTGTCCTTACAGCTTACTGACTCATAGGCTGGTTTAAATTTCCCAATTTTTTAGTTACTATATCACACTGAAGCTGACTCAGACAACAGTTCCAGTAACCCTGAGTCTCAAGGCAAACAGCAGATCACCTCCATGGTTAACTTCTTTCAGTTTGCTTGCAGGTTCCTGTTTTTGGTTTGCAGTTCTCAGATAGGAGTCTAGGAGTTTCACTTTAAAGATTAATTTCTGAAATTTGTTGGATTTTACTCCAAACTTGATTTCTCAGTTTCCTGACAGACCGTCTCCATTCATTACGGACAGTTATGACACTGTAAGCAGGGAAATAAACAGGAGACATTTTTTAGATGCAAAATAGTGTCAGTTTGACAGAGTGAACAAGAAAAACAAGAAACTCAGGACAAGCATTTACATAAAACCTTTCAGTGTTTTTATTTATTTATTTGACAAGCAGCATGATCATGTTTGTCACCTCATTTTTCTTTACATTTGAAAGTTGATACAATAGTCAGTATACCAGTTTTATTACAATATTTTTTCCTAACTTCAGTACATTTAACAAAGAAAGAAAATAAACACACGACAATTGCAAACGTGAGAAAAGAAAGCATGTTTTCAATGTGTATCCACCAATGTGTCATTGATGTCACCGCTTACTCTTTCCCCGCTTTTATTTATTCCTTTATTCCTGCTCGGCTTGTATGTTTATCGGCTCTTTCCTCTCCAACAGCTATAGGCATTTTCTTTTGTCTTTTGACGCACAGGTGCGTGGCACTGGTGATGTTGTAAACAGCTTCAAAATCAGAAGGTGGGTGGGGTTGGAGGGAGGGTCTTGAGTGTGGTGGAGTAAGCCGGCTGTCTGACGTGACATGATGACCTTGTTTGTTTTCAGAGATGGAGGCACCAGTCCTGCTGTGAGTCACCGCAGAAAACCTCAGCAGACAGCCACAGTCCAAACCTAAATGGATGAATGAGTCTGTTTTGTTGTTTCTTTTAAACCTGCTTCTGCCGGTCATTCACACAGGCGAGTGTTAGAGTGTGAGCGCTCCCTTGCTCCGCTCTCCTGCCTACGCTACGTAGCTGTACTCGTCTGCACAGGTCTGGCTCCGCTCAATGTACTGCTTGTCGATAAGCACCTCAATGCACTTCTTGATCATGCTGATACTTGGGTTGAACCTGGCTTTGGATTGATTGATGACCTGTGCACAGAGACATTCATATTACAGTGATTTAACTGTTAATGTTATCTGCAAAACTAAATTATAAAAATTAGAATTTTTACGTTTGTTATATTTTTTAGACTTCGCAAAACAAGCCATTCAGTTGTAAAGAACAATCAGTAAATATGCATTCTCTCTGATGGTCAGCAGAGGGCAGCTCTTGTGCAAATAAATGACTTTGTATTCTTTGAAACACGACATCTATTTTACTCTCAACAGGCAAAAGTCTTCAAAATGACTAAGCAGGATCTGCTTTATGGTGTAGCTACAAACTGCTGTAAGAGCTTCCCATTAACCAGAGTAAGGGCTACGCAGTGTCACCCTGTGGTGCACTCACCTCCTGGATGAGGGCGTTGTGTCGCAGCACCTTGCGGGCCTTCATGATTCTCACTATAGCAGCTTGTAAATACATTTTGCGGTCCTCGTCTACGGCGCTC